AAGTTAATGAAAGATTGTTAAGTTAATCATTTTATTCAAAAAATGTTAATTAACTATAAATTGGATTAATTTGAGGCATTATCTATTTTCATGTATTAAAATCCAACTGCTAGTAAATAATCATAAGTAGCTGGAATTATTCTAAATCATTCACATTTACTGTTATTCATGAATTAATTAATGAGCTTGAAAATGGATTAAAAATTTTATAACTTAATATTATTTGGCATGCAAATATGAATGCTGTTAATAAATTTACACGTAAATTGTAACATTGGACGTGATTTTTCTCTTTGCTGAAAATATTCTAGCTTCAAATTATTTTTAATTAATGTCAAGTCAAATCACTTCTGGTTCCTTTCTTCAATCCGTTGTTTGTGTTCGTCTGCAATTTGCCATTCCACTTCATCACGTATTTTCTGTATTGCATCAAACAAAGATTTTGCTTCTTCACTTTCATCACTAAATACTTTGAAAATTTAACATTTACAGCAATAAGTAAATTTACGAAGTAGCATTAATTTAAAAATAATACACTGAAAAATTTGACAAACATTTTGATTACGTCAAATTACGCGTTTTATTGATTGAATTTCTTGTGCTCTACAATAGTGGAATAATCTCTATTTGATCAGTACTGTGGACAGTATCTCTCGGTTTTATTAATTTTAGCTCTGTTCTTTTTTCTTCATTATGCAGTCAAATGTCACAACAGTCTATTACACAAAAGATAAATAAGCTTACATCAATTTTTTACTTGCGTAATGTAATATTAGATGCACGTCTAACATTACGTGTAATAAAGCTGTACTTACCACATCTTATCACCTATTTGAGTCATAAAATTCAATGCATCATTCAGTCTACACTGAGCTTTTTCAAGTTGGCTTCGTAACTGCAACGCACTCAGAAAAAAATTCTAGAAAAAATTCAATGAGCTATGTTCTTCTAATCTAACTAAATCATTAAGTACAATATCTGATATTAATCGAAATCGATTAGTAACAGTAATAATATACACAAATAATTAAGTGACTCACGTGAGTAGCGAAAATAAATCACGCAAGTATCTAAAATATCGTTAAAATTAACAAAAAGAAAAGAAAAAGCATATTACAGAAACCAAACCAAACCTCCTTGACTTGCTCCCTTACTGTTAATTCAGATTCTTCTTTTATAGATAGAAGCTTGGCTAATTGCTCAACTCTGCAAATTAAAAGCTAAAATTTTTAAAATTTTAAAAGAAGACATTTTACATATTTTATCGTATGCAAAATAAAAATGTTATCTTTTATAGTATTTTAGCTAATACAAATATCAAATTTTAAGTTTTTTAATTTAATAAATTAAAAAATTAAATACTGTATTTAATATAATTCACTTTGATAGTTTAGTTAGTTAAGAAAATTGTACAAATTTTTTTACTAAATTTCACGGTTAAACGAATAAATTAATACAATTTCAATAAGATTGCTCTAAGGATGTAAAATTATAAGCTTCTCAATAATATTCGGATCTAAAAACTGTCTAATTTAATTTAATTTAATAAAAAACTTAAAATTCGATATCTGTATTATTCTTAAATTTACTGAGCATTTTTTTCTTTCAAGCGTAGTCTCTCTTCTCGCGCAAGACATTCGGTTTCTTCGCAGCCTTTTCTCATAGTTTCACATTTAATAAGTTTAGTCCTTAGACGTGCTTTCAAGTCTGAGACCACATTTATGCACTCAATGCTAAAATAATTATTAAAAATGAAATTGTCAAAATGAATTAAAATTAATATAAAAATTGAAAATTATTGAATTTGCAGAAGTATTTCTCTTCATTTAATCTAAGCAGTTTTGCGCGCCATTTAATTAACTTTTAAGCAATTTAAAAACGTATGCTAAAAAATTCAAAATTCGATAAATATTCGTAATATTTTGTGAATAAGCAGCAGATTAATGTGAGATTTGAATAAAAAACATACAAATTCAATTCGCATTTTCCTTCTTGAGCTTCACCCAATTTCTTTTCGAGACAATCTAAAGCCTCCTGAAATTCAAAAAATTAATTTCTGTTTAGACAATAAAATATATTCGGGATATTTGTTTCTTAGATGTATTTTAAATAATCAGTCATTTTCAAATTAAAAAAATACAAAACTGATATATAAATTCATTTAATTTTAAATTCATTTAATTTGATATATGTGTATCAAATTAAATGAATAATTAAAAATATTTGAAATCTTAAATTCATTGCAAAACTTTAGAAGATATTTTTTGAATGAAATGAAATTATTGAAAATGAAATGAAATTATCGGAAATTTTTTATTCATTTACATATTTTTTTCGAAAGAAATAATGTTTTGGTTGTGTTACAGTAACATCTAACATTTAAATACTGAAGTTTGTATTACAATGAATTTTAATCTTTAAATTTAATAAGTCGATAGATTGAAAAATGATTACACGTACGAGTAATTCTTCATCTTCTTCATCGATTTCAGAGTCAGAAGCAGTAATACTTTGAACTCTTCTGCGTAATCCAGATATTTCTTGATCTTTTGCAATCAGTGTAATATCCAATACTTCAATTCTGAATACAGAGCTTTTTTCCAAATTTTCTAATGTGAAGTTCAAATTAATTATGCAAAAATTAGAAGAATTTTATCAAAATTAGTCAGAATTCGCACACAATTTAAACTTTAACATATTCAAATTTGCAAATTTTCAAACATCTCAAAGTTCAAAAAAATAATTCTTAAAAAATGTCAGAAACAATTTTTATTAAAAAAGTTATGCATATTTTGCCAATTTCAGAATGATCTGAACTTATTTTTAGCTTCCTGGAGCCACTGATGATGCTCATGCAAGTTGGATTCAGCGTCAACTTTTGCTTTTTGAAGTTCGGCAAACAATTTTTCCTTCGAATCAAATTCTTTTTCAAAATTACTACAAATTTGCAGTAATTTTTTTCAAGCAAAATTTTAACATTTTAATATTGTTTTCTTTTTATGTTGCAATTAAAATACATGATAAGCACTAATGTAATTAATTATTTTTCAGTATATTTTATAAATTTGTCAGAAAATATATCTGATAATTTAATCGAGTAACAAAATATGAACTAAAGTATATGAAATATTACAATTATTGTTAGCACTTACTTAATAGTAATATTTTGATTGTCAATTTGTTGTTTCAACTGATCGATCTGAGCGATTCGATCACTCAGCTCATTTTCCAAATTTCGGATTCTAAATTAACTAAATTCAGAATTTAAAAAAAAGTTGGAATTTGTTATTTAAGAAAACAAATTGTCACAAGAATAAAATTAAATCAGATAGTGAAAAATATTTTGGCTAAAAAATAATTGTAATTTATATAAAATAAGAATTTAAACAACAATACTGCGCTAATAATACAAAATAATTTCATTTACATAAGATTCGAATAAAATAATTCAATATCTTTGATTTTAATAACAATTAATTTTTGTATTCCAAAATGCTGATGCGTTCAATTTTATCAAAATATCCGTTTAATCTATTTTTTTTTTTGCAAACTTTATCTTAAATAATTTTAATAAAAGCCCCGCTGAAAATTATCATTTAAAATATCTTTCAAAAAGTAAGCAAAATTATTATTTCAATAAAATTTAAATTTAAAGATTCTCTGAGTTTTTTTCTGCAAAAAAACGACAATTAAAAAAACTTCGATATTATAAATTTAATTTTAACATTGATAATTCGATTAAAAAATAGATGAAATATTAATTTTTGAATTGAAAAGAAATATTTTAAAATCTGAATTAATTATAATAATTTTCACATGAAAATTTAGACTGATTAAAAGTATCGATAAATAATAATCGAGTATTTTTACAAGTTAATTTCTAAGTAATTTCTGCAAGTAAATTTGAAACAATTTTTAAAAAGTAATACTGTATAATACTTTAATTCATTTTCAGTATTGAATAACTGTTGCATTTCAGTTTTTTCTTGAAGTTGTTGTTCTAAATTTTTGATGTGATCTGACTGCTGAAAAATTATTAAATTTTAACAGTGTTTCTCTTTTATTAATTACCAAAAAATTTGAAAATTTGTCTGAAATTTGCATAAGCTTTAATCACAAAAGAGTTCATAACCTTTTGAAAAAAAAAATTCCAAATTGGAAATGTAAACTTTAAGTAATAATTTATTTAGTAAGTAAATATATCAGTAATAAACAATAATATTTATGTGCCAAAAAACTTAAAATGTTGCAAAAAATCTTTTCAAATGTAATATTCAATAGATAAGTAAATTTTTCACGTAAAAAAAATAAAAAAACAATTGCATTAGACTAACTTTTTTTACTATATGCTATAATATACGTAAAAAATAATTTCAAACGCTATCTACTTGTATAAATTCTTGATGTTTTAATCTTTCCATTTCCAATTCAGTTTTTAAGTCATTGATTTCCTGATAAGCGTGAATGATAGAATCATCTTTTTCTTCAATTATTTTCTCTAAATTATTGATCCTAAAATATTTCAAAAATTACTTGTAATAAATAGCAATATTTTACCATATTTGTAATCAACTCCAATAATATTTCTTGCTACACAGTATTATAGTGTATTAGTACGTAAATTATGTATTAAAAAATTGCGAGCACTCAAATTCAAATTTATTTTTCGAAAAAATTGCTTAGGTACTCGAAAAATGAAATTTTAAATAATTCTACTCATTTGAGTGAAAATTTTTGAGTTTTTTGTATTCATTCATTTCATACTAAAGTTAATATTATCAAAACAAACGATATCATTAAAATTAAGTGTTTAGTTGTAATACTCAAATTCAAATTATAAAAATTAAATTTCTGATAGCAATAAAAAAAGGTTTTGATTTTTAGCAGATCAATCACCTAGTTTGAACATCTTTGAGCAACCGTTCTTGATCTTGAAGTTTTAGTCTAATTTCTTCCTTCTCTTCCATCACTTTACTACTTTCAATATTTTTAGCTTCTAATTTTTCCTTTAATTCAGCTACAACAACAATTAATGCTCTGAAAAATATTTTCATGACATTAATAACAGTTCCTTGCAATTCTTTTACTGCTAATAAAAATAATTAATTAATAATAAGTCCATTTTATTGAATTAAATTTTATGAGCAATATTTAATGTTATTTATAGAAAATTCATTTAGTTATCAGTAGTGATGTTTTCAGAATTTTATAGAAATTCACAGCCTTAACGTAAAAGTTTATTTCAATAATTAACAAATTTATAAAGTATATTTTAAAAAAGTATAATAAAAATTTATAAAACTCATTTAAGCTGATGCCAATAAAGTGAAGATTAATAAAAAATAGATTTAAACGAAAAAGAAACTGCAAGAAGTTTATAACTGTATTATGCATACTTTGGGAATATATCAAAATATAACAAATAAAGTACGGTATTAGATCAGGTATTAAAAAGTATTACTGGCTCACTCAGAAGTAACTATTGATCTAAAATACATACAATAACAATAATTAATTTAAGTAGCTCAAACGTTTATTAAATTTTATTCAAACAATGTTAAGAATAGGTAGTATTAAGATTCTGATCACTATTTTTACCTTAAATATCAGATTATTATTAATTTAAGAACTGTAATTTTTGGTTCTAAATAGTAGATTATTAGAGTTATAAGCAAAATAAACTTTTAGCTCATTTTTTAACTGAAAAAATATTTTCTTATCACTTACCATTCCAAAAATTATTCCTATCTCCCGCGTGCTAATGACCATAAAAAATTTGTTATTAAGTTATTTTTGTAAGTTGAATGATACGCGCAATTCATGGGATTAGATCATTCTAACTGTATTATTATTTTGACCCCGAAAATAACCAGTATTTCTTACATATTTGAAAATAAGCAAATAAGTAAATATTCACAAACAAACCTGTAATCAACAGTATGATCTAAACTATCGCTGACTTCAATTAATTTTGTCTCTACAAGGCTTGCTTGTTCTGTTAGCTATAAAAAGTATTCATTATAGATTAAATTAAGTTATTTAAATTAAATTAATTTGATAATTGTTTGCAAAAATGCTTTGCTTTTTCACAGTTATGATTCACCGATAAATTGGCATAAAATGCGTGATCTTTAATTCAAATTTTGATTATTGCAGGTCAATTAAATAAAAATCAAATCAACTCATTCAATTAAATTATTAAATTTTTAATTAAATTTATAAAATACAAACTTTTTGATACTTTTCGGCTTCACAAGCGGCTTGAGTGATGTAGTTTTGTACGTCAGTTTCTAAAGATTTGATGGTTCTGTCTTTTTCTTCAAGCAACTTTTGTAATTCTTCGATTCTGAAATTAATTCTTTTACAGTTTAATTACTAATTAATTATTAAATTTACACATTTTCACTAAATTAAGTTAGTTTAGTGTTCAGTATTTTGCAAAATAAAATATTAATATAAAAACGAAGGCAGCTATTTTTTCAGTAATTAATATTACTATAACATTAAAAAATTATTACAATTTATAATATAAAAAAATTCTGTAAATATATATTAAAAATAAAGGCAAAAAATATATTTAAAAAATGTCAAACTAAAATTGCGATTTTTTAAAGATTCAAACAAATTTTAAAAAATGCAATTATGTTCGCAAGTTATTAGTATTCAAAAAAGTCTTGCATTTAATATACAAAAATAAATTGCATTTTGTTCAAGCAATAAAATCAGAAATAAAAGTAATTGAAATTCAAATTTTTGAATTACTAACTTTCATATATATTCAAAATTTGTTTAATTTTGTAGTCTCAAATAAATTTTTTTTGAATTTTACTTTCAAATATTTTTAATTTTATAATCTAAAGAAAATAAGAAGTGTTTTTATAATACAGTCTTTTGTATCCTAGCAAATTATAAAAATTTTAAATAAATTAAACTTTTGGTTTGCATTAGCAAGCCAACAACGATGCTCGCCAAGGTACCATTCTGCTTCATTTTTATTTTGGTATAATTGGGATAACTCCGCCTCCTTCTGATCGAGTTGGCTTTTGAGTGCATCGATTGTCGAGAGTAAACTGTACAATAATCATTAAGCATATTTATTTTACCATCATTATTAAGATCATGGTCACTAGGGTCACTGGGATTAAAGGTCGATAAAAAATGGAATGATTATTATCTACAATTGCTCTTTTCTTAAATAATACCAGTTGAGTTTCCACTTTTCACTTTAAAATAGTGTGCTGTAAAATTCAAATTTATTTATAACAGTATGAAGGTAATCTTTTTTGATTAATATTTTTTGATCAGAAAAAAATTTTGACTTTTTGATAAAATAAATAAAGCATTACCAAAATATCATACAAAAGATTTTTATCAATTGAAAATAATATTCATTATAGGTAGGTTGAGTGAAATTTTGAACAGTTTGCAGTTAACACTACTGAAGTTTTATTTTGATGAATACTTGATCTGATCGTCGATTTTGGATTCTTCCTCCTCAGAAACAGTCTGCTCTGTTTTTTCTTTCAAATCATTGTTCTCGGCCTTTAACCTTTCACACTGCTGATTGCAACTGATCACTTCTTCATTCAGATGTTTGACAGAATTTTCTAGTTCTTCAATTCTAAAGTCATACTTGAGTGATTTCTTTTTCTTTCTTGGAGTTATAATATATATTTTGTGATGAACATTGAAATTCGCATCATAAAAGCACTGGAAACATATTACAATTTATATGATTGTAAATCTCATTTACATCTTGCTATAACCTTTGACCTACTTACCTAATTTTAGCATCGTTTAACCAATGCTTGTGTTCTCCAAGGGACCATTCCGTGTCATTTCTCAATTTATGCAAATCACTTAGCTCTGTTTCCTTGCCACTAAGACTTCTGCGTAAATCTTCTATTACTTGCTTCAGCTCCCTGTAAACCAGTTAAGAAAACAAAATGATTTTCACTTCAAGCAAATATCACTCTTTCACTCTGAATTATCAGTAAACCAGAGTAACCGACAAAATTCTTACTTTATAACTACTTTAGTTTAATGATTAATTCAGTTATTTATAAACTTAGTATTTTAAAATATTACTCATTTTCGCGTGTAGCTGACGTAAGTTCTTCATTTGTTTGAGACAGCAATTCTGAGACTTCATCACTTCTAGCCTCTTGTTGGCATATTTCCTTCATCTAAATTGATAAATTTGAATATTCAATTTTTAACTGCTGTATTCGATGGTTGCATTTCAATAAAAAATTAATTTTAAAGATATTATTCTGAAAACAAATTTTAAATTTTTCATTATGCATTGTTATTAATTCTTTTTTTGGTGATTTTAAATTGTTAATTACTTTATATTACTTAATTATATGATTTTAGCAGACTTTTTGGTGTCACATTTTTCTTGTTTTACATTTAAATATGAAAATTGAATACCATAAAAATAAAGTTTAATTGAAATAATTTTTTATTGGCTTTGCTAAATCTGATTTTTAACTGAACTCGTATTTACTGTTTAAGATTGGATTGTTAGAAATTTCTCATCATATTTTTTGATTTTAATTAATATCATCAAATTACCATGACTATAATTGTTGAAGTGTTACTCTGATATAATATCAGAGCAATATAATATAATATCTTTATTATTATCATTAAATTTCAAATTTTGCAAGTTTGATTTAATATTAATCGTAATTCAAAATCATATTTTAAGCAAAAGATTAATAAAAAGGTACCATTTGATCGTCTTCTGGAAGCGTTGATAAAGCCTCTTGTTTTTCCAGCAAAGTTTTGTGTAATTCTTCATTTCTGAAAAAATAACAACTGAGAAAAAAAAGTCGAAGATAATTATTTAAACATATATGTTAGAAAACTAATATATCAATTAAAAATTAACATAAATTATAATTAATAATTATTATGATTTAGTGAAAAAATACAAAAGTAAAAACTGTGATTAACAATTTCATAAAATCATACACTTCCTTCAGTTCTTTAAATTGATCGTCAAGTTTTTGCATCGAGTCTTGAACTGAATCTTTTCGAGTATAAGCTTCTTCTTCTAACTTTTTAATCCTACAAGTCAATATTCACATAACAATTCATGTTATTTCAGATTGCATCAAAATAATTAAATTTTTGATCTAAAAAAAATGAATTATTGAAATACTGATTTGTAATCAATCAATGTGAACTGCATTTCTATCAATTTTGCTATAAAATAATTTTTCAACTGATTTAATTCATCATTAAGTTCTCAATATCTGATAAGTACTGTATTACAAAATAACTTTAAGGAATGGAAAAAATTTAATTAAATACAAATTTTTAATTGTTAAAAAAGTTTACAATTTTTAGAAAATAAGTTGACCGCTATTAGTAAATAGCAAATTATGCATATGTAATTAATTCAAAATTATAAAAAAATAAAGTTAAAGTTCAAAGAGTACTTATTATTAGCTTCTTGAAGTAATTCTTCTTGCTTATTGAGTTTTATTTCTAATTCATTTTTGTATTTATTAATATCAACCAACTGATTATCTCTTTCTTCAATTTGTTCCTCTAATTTTTTCCGTTCAGCCAGCAATTCACTAAATTAATTCTTTCACATAAATATTATCAAAATTGTTTTAATCAGAACGTTTAAAGTTCAAAAATTTCATCTTATCTAATCAAAATAATATAATTAATTATCAGTCATTAACAGATTATTATGAATATATTACACGCCCATTTATTATCATAAAAAATATAATTGTATTTAGAAAATAAAGTCCATTTATTTTATACACCAAATTATATGAATTGAATTGAATATAA